TTTCTTCACCGGTGCAACTACCTTCTTGGCAGGCTCTGGTGCTCTTTTAGCGGGCTCAATCACTTTCTTAGCTGGAGCGACGACCTTTTTTCGCTGGCTCCACTGCCGCCTTCTTAGCTGGTTCGGCAACTTTCTTGGCAGCCGCTGTTTCCTCTGTAGTTTTCTTTGCTGGTGCCGCTGTCTTCTTTGTCACAGCAGTGGACGCAGGTTTTTCGCCATTCTCCTTATCTTTCGGCTTATCTTTCTCGGCTGTGCTGGCAGCTGTCTTCTTCGCCCATGGCACTGCGGGCTTGGCATTGGCGGTCGTATCCTCCTTTACCCATGGTGGGCGAAAGGTGGCGCGACCAGTGGTGCTGGTGGGCGTGCTCTTCGGCGCAACGAAGGGCATTGTGTCGTCGCTTTAACTGTTCGAGGTCACCAGGGGTTTGAAAGCTGATTTATGTGCTAGATGTCAGATATTTCTAGAACATCGCTTTTCAATACTTGCAACAATTGCTTTTAAGTTAATTACTTTTTTGTTTTACACTAAAATCGCTTTAATTATATTTTATAGTTTCGCTGAATATTGCTTCGTAAAATTTCACTTAAATCTACAAGAATTCAATACACACTTTATTTTACAAAATGCAAGTATTTTTTTTCATGTGCACATCCACATTTACTTCTATTATTAATTTCACTTAATTTCCTAATATGCACGTTTTACTTATATGGCAATTTGTTTAAATTTATTCAAAATAGCTCGGAGGAATATTTTCGCGTAGTCGCCCCGTCGAATCGCAACAGCTGTTTGAGCATTTTTTATTTGATACAGAAAATTTGTTCTTTCTTGTATGTATCCACTTTGGTTGGACTTCAAAAATACATTTGCTAAGCAGCGCAAAAATATATAGGCTAGCGGGAATTCAACTTTTACGATTGCGAGTGTACAAAGCACGGCCACTGACGTTGCTGGCGGTGGTGATTTTCATCTTTAAAAATAGGCTAATAATGTGAGCATTGGAGAGGAGGTGGCTGGGTGATGAGATAGGCAGGGAAAAGTGAGGCGCGGCAGGCGAGGAAACAGTGTGCTGCATTTGTCTTCCACATTCTAAATACATACATACATTGCGGGAAGAGTGTGCACATCATTTAAAAAAAATGTGTTTAAATTAAAATAATGAGTAATGGACGCGAAAGGACGGTCATTAAATAATATTATTTTTTAGTTTATTTTAATTTATTTATTTTTAGAGTTTTGGGCAGATGGCTTAGGGGGTTCAAGACCGGGGTTTTAGAAATATTGACTTGCTTCTGGCGCAAGCCTAAGAAAAGGATTAAAGAACACCCTTTAAATTAATTTTTTTAAGACAGTCAAGAGGCCACTTAAGCTCTCTCCTACAAGATGAGGGCCGCCAAAGCTTCTTCAAATCTTTTGCAGTGAGATATACACTGACATCTGTTGGTTATCAGGAATTCTCGTACTGAGAGTAAGCACGTCGTCCAGAAGCTGTGTAGTTGGAAAATTATCATCAAACGTCTTCTACGAGAATTTTAATATTTGTTGCATAAAAGTACAGGGCCCGAGAAACGCAATACTCTTTGGTTAGATATCACTAAGTCTCTGGTTATCTATCTAGATAGGATCGGTCTATCTGCAGATGTAATACATTGGGCTGAGCATGATAAATAACTTGGAAAACGTGGTTTTGGTTCGTCCAGAGGGGACGGGTTTAAAGCTAAAATGCCAAAATCAGTGACTTTAATCGGAATTAGTGAACAAATAGATTTGACTCAACAATATCAGCATTTTTTTTTAGCAATATCAAAAAACTCATACTGAGAAGAGTGTTGCGCAATTGGAACTAAGCTTAGTAAGGACAATATCTTCATTACGATTAGGTAATTGGTCGTAAAAAGCGAGAGACAAGAATATTTTGCGTATTATTAAAACAAATATGTATAATAAATTGAAGCGACGATGTACGATTTTTTTCTAATTAGCCTTCATTCAACCTGTTCAATTCTTTTCAACTGGCAAAATTGTTTGAATTCATTATCAAACAGTTGGTAAATATCTTTCCAAATACTACATTTCTATGTAGTAATTAATGTACAGTGAAAACGTACGCACGTACATATAGGTACATACATACATATGTATACATATGTCTATACATATGCACGTTTACATGCATACTCGTATATGAAAATTCTAGCAAAAAAACAACAAAATGTACTGAAATATCAACACAAAGTGAAAAGTAATAAAGAAAAAAAACACAAAACAAAAATAATGTGATTAAAAGACCAACGTTTTTCGTCAAAAGTGTAAAGAAAAATCAGCAGAAGCGCAAAAACGCTGAAAAGTGAAGCGTTTGCTTTGCACTTCAGCACCAGCCTCTAACAACATTAACGCCCTTGCCATCCCCGCTCGGCACGCTGCAGTGCAAAAGCAAAAGGCGAAAATATATATGTATGCGTTTTTTTATTTATTTTAAATTTTAGCCTTTCGTCAGTGCCACAGCTGCCGCTTTGCCACTGTTGGCGCTGTTGCTTTTGTTGCTATTCTCGCGGTCGTTGTAGCTGGTCGTATTGCTATTGTTGTTGTTGTTGTTGTTGTTGCTATTGCTGGCCACCGTCGCTTTTCCAACACTTTTCCACGCATTTTCGCGCATTCCTTTCTCAACCGTTTGCTTTTTATATGTATGTACATACATTCATATATATATATGTATATGTATATGTATACAAATTTATGCACACTTGTGTTCAGTTGATTAAGTTAAGTGACATTTTGACCAGTTCTCCTATTTTTCTTGTATTTATTTAAAGTTTATTATTTTTTAAAAAAGTCTAGCACATTATATAACCAGCACCATATAAATCCACATTTCAAACTGTGTACAAAAATCATGAAAATTCAACAAACTTTACCAATTACACCCAAAAATTTCAAACTTTGTATTCAGAGTTTTTATACAAATTTTAGTTGTGTACTTTTATAGCCTATTAAATTTTAGCACGACAAAGTGCGAGTTTCACGACGCTGGAACTTCGCGTTGAATTTTTATAATTTCTTAGCTGATGATGTTGTGCATTTTCTTCCATATGAAGTATGCTCAACAATTTCTTTTATATGGAAGACAATTCTTTTTTATATGTCTTAGAGCTTGCAATGTATCCTACTAAAATGTAATGGGCTGTTTTATTACTGCCTAACTAAATTTTTTTTTTAATTCTGAATAACAAGTTTAAAATTTTTGTGTGTAATTGGCAAAATTTATTGAATTTTTATAATTTTTGTGCAAAGTGTGAAATGTGGATTTATATGGTGCTGGTTAAATAATGTGCTAGACTTTTATAGAAAAATAATAAACAATAAATAAATAAATAAAAGCAAAATAGCCAAAACTGATCAAAAGGTCACCTAACTTAATTAGCTGACCACAAGGGTATGTACGTTTTTTGATTTCTGTTTCCATTATTTTAGCTTTGCCCTGTTTTTAATTGTGCACCACTTTTCTTTCGACTTTCAACAACGGTTTGTTGTTCTTGCTTTGCTGCTTTTCTTTCGTGAAAAACTTTTTGCTTTCGGTTCATCTCCTTAGTTTACATTTTGCGTTCTTCTTGCTGGTATATATATATCCAAGAGTTTATATGTGTGCTTGTATGTGTTTCTGGGTAAAAAAAAAAACGAACAAGTTGTTTTTAATTATATTTCGCTAGTTTTGTTGTAGTTTTAGGAAGTTTTACGAAAATAAAATCGTGCGGAGGCGGTGCTGGTAAAACAAAAATGAGAAAAAGGGGATTCGAAAAAATGTATATATGTATGTATGTAAGTTCATATATGTAAATAGTTTGTGAAAAGACTGCGAAAGCGATTTATTTATTTCGACTTGTTGACTTTCTCCGAGCTATTGAAAATTGAATTAATCGGCGCTTTCTCCTCTGCGCTTCTGCTTCGTGTTTATTCAATGAATTTGTTTCTCTATATTTTGATGCCTCCGCCCACACATTTGCGCTGGCGAGTCCATTAAACGGCCACGCAAATTTGATAGGTCATTAATTTCGATTGCAATGCAAATGTTGCATTTGGAAATTTGTAAATTTGCAGCGCTCTGTGCGAAGATCTCAGTTAGTATACTAAACGGCAGCAGAGCAGTTGCTATCATCGCTAAATTTAAACATTTCAAACGCTTTCGCGACACGCTAGGCCGTACATTTGAAAAAGTTTCGATGCGAACGCAAAGCTATTACTTTGAAAGTGAAAATATGTACATTTTTTTAAGTATGTAAATGTATGCACATAAAAATTCAGCTGTTGCGCGACGCAGACGTGCGAAATTGAAACAAAGTCTTTAACATTTTTAAAATTTTAATTTTTGGTTGTTTTAAAAAATTGTAATTATTCCGCATTCCGGTTTTTAACATTTTCACTATATATTAACTGTATATTTAAAAAATTTCTTCGTTGCACATTTCACAAAATTCAAAACCAGCACACTTGTAATTCATATTTCACACAAAATTTGTATTTTTTGGTATGTTTTTTGCTTTGCAGCATTAATCGACGGTATTCTTTTTAATTACAATTTTTGCTTAAAATTTCAATACATATGTATGATTTTTAAAATCAACCAAATCGTCGTTTCTCTGGCACACAGCAGTCCACAGCTTCCAAATCTCAACTAAATATTTTGGATATTCAAAAGGCCTTATTCGACTTGCCTACAATTTTCAAAAATCGCTCACACTCACTGCTCAAATTCACAGAGAAAATTCCTAATTCGCTTCGTGGCAGCGCCTTCCTTCCCAGCCGGATTGAACTTTGAGTGGATTGATTTGTTTACTTGTCATATATTTCTGCGCTTTATTTTGAGTTGTTTTCAAAATATGCTGATCTTAATTTTGAGTTAATTTTTAAAAATTTCTCAAGCAATTTTTGCCTGAGCCCACTTTTAATATAAAATGCAATCGAAGTTTTGATGCAGCTGTGGTTTTGAAAATATTTTTTTTTGCAAACTAAAATAATGACTTTTTTTAGACGCATTCCATGCATTGTATACCGTGTGCGTGTGTGTACATTTTGTATTCAAATACATATTTTTTTATCAAGAGCATGCAGTTTTTCACCAGGCTTTCAATATAAATCCTACATGCATACTTTTGGATGCCTCACCAAAAAATGTTGCGCTTTTTCTATCGTAATTATAAAGTTTATCATATTCTAAGACTTTTGTCAAAATATTTCGGAAAAATTTTAATAACGGGTGATTTTTTTGAGGTTAGGATTTTCATGCATTAGTATTTGACAGATCACGTGGGATTTCAGACATGGTGTCAAAGAGAAAGATGCTCAGTATGCTTTGACATTTCATCATGAATAGACTTACTAACGAGCAACGCTTGCAAATCATTGAATTTTATTACCAAAATCAGTGTTCGGTTCGAAATGTGTTTCGCGCTTTTTTATCGACAAATTTTGTTCAGCGATGAGGCTCATTTCTGGTTGAATGGCTTCGTAAATAAGCAAAATTGCCGCATTTGGAGTGAAGAGCAACCAGAAGCCGTTCAAGAACTGCCCATGC